GGTGCAAGGTGGAGGGTTTGGGTTTATGTGTTAGGGTTAATGTCCCAGGCTCCGGGTTTTGGCTGAAGTTCAGGGATTAGGCTTGGGGGGTTCGGCTTCAACTTTGGCTGAAGGAACGGATGTGGGGAGGTTTTGGGCGAATCCTAAACCTGGATTTGGGGTTTTGGGTTTGAGGTTTAGGTGGGGAGGTTTGGAGTATAGGTCTCAGACCTCCGGGTGTTGCGGTGCATGTCTTGCGCCTTCCGAAGGACCTAAACAGGTTTAGGGTTTCAGGTTTAGGTTAGGGGTTCAGGGTATAGGGTTCAGGGCATCCCCTCTTCTGTTTTCGATGCTGACTGCTCCAGACACTGATGAACGAGATTTCGTGTTGTCCCAAATGCGACAATCCTAAGCCCGAATTTATGCTACGCATCTTCCTGCCGCTGCGTCCGGGAGTTCGCAATCATGGTGTTGAGAGTTGTTCCACAAGTTCAGATTCCGGAAGAATAGAGGCACCGCAATGTGGCAGATGTTCCTGCCCGGAAGGCGGGTTGTGCTTGATGACGGAAGGTTCGGATGAATCCCTCAACCCTAAACCCTAAACCTCCAAGGGCTTTAGCGGAGCTCTTGGGGGGTTTCCGGCGCAGGTGCCCCACGGCGTTGCCCCGGGCTCCACGCTGCAGGCGAGGGCGCCGGACGGCCGCCACATGCCCGAGTTTTGTGGCTTAGGGCCTTGGGAGTGGTTTAGGGTTTAGGGTTTAGGGTTTAGGGTTTAGGGGGATTGAGGGCCGAGAGTTGAGGAATGTGATGGAAGGATTTAGGGTTCAGGGCGCAAGGGAAAGGGGGGGGTGGGGCGAGGTGGTTCTGTGCAGAGAGTTTTCGATTTCAGGGTTTTGGGAGTTTGGGGGCCAAGCGGTTTTGGGGTGCAGGGTTGGGGAGGGTGATAAATTGCACCTGTAGGGATTACAGTAGGGTTTAGGGTTTAGGGTTTATAAACCACAACGCTACAGGGTAAAGTTGAGTTCAGGACGTAGGATTTGGGTAGATAGGAGGATGAGAGTAGCCTTCATGTCTTCATGAAGTGTTGAGGTACTCGCCTTTTGGTTCAGGTGCGTTCAATCCAAAGTGTAAAGAAACCCCGAGCACGACCGAAGTGCGCTGAGAGGTATGCCTCAATACGCCAGTGTTGAGGCTTTTGTACTATTAGGGGGTGCATCAGCTACTCCAGGCAGCTCAACCCTAGAGCCCTCAACCCTAAACCTGAAAAACCTTAACCCTAATCCCTCAACCCTCAACCCTAAACCCTAAAGCCCCAAACCCTAGACCCTCAACCTTGAAACCCTAAAACACTAAACCCCCAAACCCTAAAACGCTCTCAACCCTGAAGCCCTCAACCCTGCAGCCCTCAAACCTAAACCCCCAAAATTTCA